TCAGTAGCGCCACACAACACCAGCCTCCCAGAGGCCTGCGCCAACCACCTAGATGATGAACAGGAACTGCGATGTAATCCTCAGTGTCGATGAGCAACTCTGACGAAGAAAGCCGCAGCTATGGCTGCAGCGCCACTGTAGATGCCACGCATGATCTCAGAGGAAGATGCAGCAACAAAGGTCCACCCACGAATACCATGTAGAGCCTCATAATAGCTCAGCCACTCGCAAGCACTCCCAGGGGTGGATGCTCAGAGGACGCCCCAGCTGTGGCGAGCTCCAGCAGGCTGGCTATGACTGCCGTCCACAACGAAGGTCTCAGGATGCCGCCTGAAGGCAATCGTCTCCACTGTACTTGCTTGGCGAAGAACGCTGTCACGCGAAAACTGAAAACTGCCGAAAGTCCTGACCCTAGCGACCTAGATCTATTAATAGACTAACGTAGACCTAGACACGGACTGGACCGGCCAGTACCGTTTCAGTTTTGGCCTCTAGGGCCTCTACTTACCCGGCTATAGGCTGTCATCCTACGGGCCTAGGCACTAGGGCCTCCCGTCCTAGTGATAGCCCGGGCCTGCTATTCGCAGTGCGGTCTAAGGGAATTGCGGGCCTGTAATTTTCCCGAAATTGCAGATATGTCCCTCACGAGTTTCCCTCAGCACTGAACTCTCGGTAAGTCCCTCACACAAACAAAATTATGAATCTAACCCTACTGCTGTTTCTGTACAGCCTCGCAGTCAGATCTCGGCAGTCAGAATCAGCAAGTCATTGCATTTCTCTGCAGAGTCCGGTGACATGTTATCATCTGCCATCCCATCGTCTTCTTCTTCGTTCTCTTTTCCATCCCCCTGTTCGCCTCTTCCTTCTGAGGAGTCCGTTTTGTCTCCTCCCTTCATCATTTCTTCTTCTTCTTTGCTGCAACCTTTTTCGGTTCCTCGCTGTTTTTTCCCTTTGCTGTGTGTGTTTCTTTCTTCTTCTTCCTTTTGGCCTTACTGATTCTTGTTAGTATCTGCGTCTATCTCCTTTGTTGCTGAGTCATGTCGTTTGAGCTTGCTGCTTTTGCCTTGTGATGTGCTGTGTGCAGGTGAGTTTGGAGGGGATTGGTTGGTTTGCGTTTTGGTTGCTTGTGGTTGGTGTAGGTTGCAACCCACGTACTTGTCCAGAGCCTGGCATAGCGCCCTTACAGACTAACGACCTCAATAGCTCAGTGCGTAGAGCTCTGATATACTAACTTGGAGGTCCTGAGTTCAACTGCGACTATGCTCATTCATCATATCAGCTAAGGGATGATCCTCTACATGGTTTCGGGTGGGGACGTGTGCCTTTCCTGCGGGAAAGTTGATGTGGGATGGATGCTACTCTCTTGGGCAGGTGAGTAGTAAGGGGTTGGTTGGGTGCATGGTGATGCCGTGGCAGTCCTATGGTGGGGAGGGTTGCCTTGTAGGGAAACCAATGTTGAATCAAGAGGTGTGTCCTACTCTCAATGTCTGTAGACCCATTTCGGGGTGGTGGGTTATCAGAGGTAGGTTGGGGGTAGTTGTTAAACGACGGTCGAGGTCTCCACCATTACCACTGGTTGATTCTCCCTAACGAACAGACATAAGCAAGGCTCATCAGAAGCAGAAAGCAACCACACACATCCACATAGACTATGATATCACATTAGCTCACATAACAACCAGCATACTCAACAACTAACAGTAGACATATATGATCCGAGCTGTGCTAGGTTAGTGCTTAGAGGGGCTCGTAGGTTAAGACCTTGGTTAGTTGACCATTAGACACTTCCTATGAGTGCTCTCACTACTCACGGGACTAGCTGAGAACTATGTGCCTAGCTCCCGAGGTCCCCGTTTAACGAGGCTTGTACGCTAGTGCCTCAACTGGGGCTGAATGGGGGAGCTCATTCAGCGCCGGTGCCCGCGTCCGCTGTCTGGTCAGGTTGCTCCAGTAGTAGAGAGTGATGTTCCTCGCATGAGGTAAGATAGAAATGGAGTGGGGGTGCGCCAGGAGATATATATCGAGAGGAGTGGTGGGATGGGAGTCTCATGAGTAAAAAAAAAAAAAAAAAAAATGAAAAAAAAAAAAAAACATATCCTGTCTCTTGCCCGTAAATTCTCAAAAAAGGCTTTTTTCCTGTGTTAGTCCCCGGGCGGCCCGGCTGGGGGAAGGTCGCCCGGGTACCCTCCCGGGCGGCCCGGCCCGGGCAGGGTCCTGGGCGATCCCAGCGCATAATATTCTAGAAAATAGAAAATAAAAAATTTTCAAAAAAATCCGAAAAAAAAATATGTTGTGTAAAATTGCAATACAAACGACTTTTGGCTAAGGGCAACCTCAAAATTCCTTGTTAAATTCAAGATAAAAATAAATGAGAAAACCTGAGTCCCAAAAGACTCCAAATGTACCCTTTTAAGCCCTTTAGTCACTGTTTATACCCCCCAACCCCCCTTTGGATGACCCATCACCAAAACCGAAGTTAAGACCGGATTCTGACTGCTTGGGCCAAGCGCAGTCCTGGCCTGATGTCTTTTTTTTTTTTTTGGGATCCTTGCCTCTTTTTTGACCCGTCTGGTTTTGCCTGGCAACCCCCCTTCTGCCCAACTGGCCGGGCGACGGCCCAACATAGCTTTTTTCTGCTGAGCTGCTTGTTTTGATCAATTCTTGCAGGGTGTCTTTCCTGTGCTCCTCCATAATCCCGAGCGTGTTCAAAATTTGCTTTTTCAGTTATCCCCCTTCCTTATCTTCGATTTCCCCCGCCCCCTTTGTTTGCCATTGGCTGTTGTGTGGTGGGTATACATCCGGTTGGACAGATGGTTCACTCTGCAGTGTCCACACCCATTTTGGGTCTTCCAACCTGTCATCGAAGACCCATCCTCGGTAGGTGGGGTCATCGACGAACCACATACCTGTCATTGTTTCACAGTCAACCAGGCTGGCTTGGATTTGGCCCGGCTTCCCTGCTCTATCCCTATTTAGTGGGCAATTCCTGTCAGTGGCTAGGTGACCTTTTCCTCTGCACTTGAAGTATCGTGGATTGGATTTGGTGGAGAGGAACACTGTCAGTTTCTGATCATTCGATTTTTGGAATAGCGAGGTATCTGGGAACTGGGGTGGAATGCCTGAAGGAACTTCAAGACATGCAATTCTGGAATCATGACTGGGTGCCAGAAATTCAGGGTCTGAAGCCAGCCATTCAATGACAGGGTTGTTTGGATATGCTTTCGCCAGTCTGTTCCACAAAGCTGTGCAAGCCCTCCGCGATGTTGTCGAACTGAATCCACAAATGGTTCCGCAGCATGGTTTGTCTGTGTCTTGAGGCATCGGGCTGCGGTGCTCGTCTAGATTTCCAGTTTGTAACTGTGCCTACTCCTTTCCTGCATTTGAGACTGCTTAAGGAGATTGGATAGAGTGCATAAGCTTTATTTTGAGTGATAATCGTGACTGTGTGGCGCACTCGTTTGTGGTATGTGACGTCTGGTTCCGTGCCAGGAACTTCCTCCAGGGATCCGAGGATGTCTCAGACCCAGGATCGTTTTTCGTTTGGGGACATGTCAGCGCATTTCTGTGGGAAATTAAATAATACTGTGTGCTTGTTAAAAACTTCCTCACAGTTGGATTCATCTTCTTCCAGATATTCCCATATCTCTACTTGCTCTTCTCCTTCTCCTTCGTCTGATGGAATCATGGGATTGTTTGTTTGATGATGTTTACTTTGGATTTGATCTGGGTGCTTGAGATGAGAAAATTCATTATTGCCCTTTGGCCTAAGGATTTCGAGGCCGAGTCAGAGGTTGAGGATTGCGAACCTTTCTGTGAGTTGTCCGATGGTTGTGTTTGTGTTCCCAAGGGTGGATGTGCCCGGTCTTGTGGTTGTCGTCCTGGAGTGGGTCTCATTCTCGGGGTTCATGGGGTTTATCGGTTTCTGCTGCGTGGGCTCTTTCCTTAGTGTCTCTGCGTACAAGAGCGCCATGTTGTGCTGGTACCCTGATTGTGTAGGTGCAGCTCTGTGGCTTTGTTTACCAGGGTAACTTACATGGAGAGAATCAGCGTATGGCTTGTCTGTTTGGTCTTCAAAGATTTGGCCAGCGTTTAGCTTCCCCTCTTGGGGATCATTTGGAGACAAGGGAAACATTTTCTTCTTCCTTACTGGGGTGATCCTCCGCGTTCCTGTTGGGAAGAAATGCTTGAAAAATTCGATTGATTAGAGTAATAAACAAGAGAAAGCTTTCTGCAAGGAAAATGAGCGACAACGAAATGACATAAATCCAGAATGCAAATTCACATTGACGGCCAGAAAGTCCAACGCTGTCCAGAAAGCAGAAATGCACTGATATTCCACCAATGGAGAACCAAAGCACTCTTGCAAGAGCATTTGCCAGGGACATCCATCGGACATTGATTCTTGGTTCAATAATGTATTCTTTTGTCATTGATGATCAATAAGAGAGGAGGAGATACGAGGGTGATGGTGTCATGGGAAGACGAGGAAGAGGTGAAGGAGGAATTGAAGGAGATGGAGGACGTGAAGGAGATGAGGAAGAAGAAGAAGAAGAACATGGAGGAAATAGAAGGTGAAAGATACAGGTATGGGTGTGTGTGCTGCATTGTGTATATGACAATTCACGATTCATTTAACGCCTGTTACCTTGAACCCCCAGTACTTCCAAGGAACTTTTTCTCCGGGCCTGGAAACAGCCTGTGCGGCAGAAAAAATGAACCTGCACGGGCCTCCTTTTGGCTGGCGCCATCAGCCAATTTTCTCTGGAGGCCGAGCCCCAGAAGTTGTGGCTGCATGCAAGCCGCATATTTTATTCTTTGGCTAGGAAATGTACTGGTGGCTTGACGTCCCAGTCCTCCTCTGCCTTGTACCTACCCCCTCTCGTCCTGCTCCTCCTTCAAGCCCTTCTTCTTCTTCTTCTTCTTCTTCTCATCCTTGCCTCCTTCTTCTCTGTGTTGTCCTGCCTCCCCTTCTAACACGTGTTCGATTCCCCATTTTGCAGGTTCCAGCGATTGTGTTTGCCCCCTTGGAGTCTACCTTGCTGCTCACTGGCCTGCAATCAGGTCTTCTGATCGATGTCAGCTTTTCAGAGACATGTGTTCTGCCAGTGTTTGCCCGGAGACCTGTGCTGGAGGCACTTCGTTATGCACCCCTGGGTGTTGACGATGTCACCAACCACTTCATCGCTGAGTGTGGTGAGATGGCCACCTCATCACGACCATCATCCTGTGTCTCATCCTCATCTCAATCATCCTTATCATCATCAGCATTGTCATCATCTATGTTGCCATTGTCATCGCTCGATGTACTTCAGAAGGATGTCAACAACATTTCACAGGACGAGGTGGCTGCGTTGTTTGACTTGGTAGCAGCTGGACAATCGAACCGTTCTTGTGACTCAGATGTCTCTATCGTCCATTTGGCTCTGGACTCACTTGTTGCCTGCCCGTTGGACGCCAGGAAAATTGTGGCGGGGAACATCTGCATTTGTGGTAAGGACTTCTCCAGCTTGACATTCTTGTGGTTGACCCCAGTCTCTGTATGACATTTTGACTTTGGTCCCCCCAGTGGAATTCAGAGAAATTCTTTGGCTGCGTTGCAGTGGTCTGCTACTTCCATTCCTTCTTCCCAATGTCCGACTTTCGCCCTCTCTCTGTCTCTTCACTTTTGGCATGCTTTTTTTTTTGTTCTGTTGTTTTTTTTGGAAAGAGCGATGGCCTTGATATGTCATCATTGAACTGACCGGGCCCGTGTAATTCAGAATGATTCTATTCTGGTCATCTGATTGTATCTGGATTTGAACTTGGGTCTGTATTTCAACAGTTCATGGGTGTACCAACTGAGCTAGGCCCGTCGTGTTTTGGCATGCATTCTCTTCCCTTTTTTCACACCTTTCCTCTTTCAAGCTGTGGAACTTTCCTCTTTCCAGATTTCTGCAGACTCTGTGCATGTGCATGAGGTGAGATGGGTGGATGCTTGCCTGTCAAATTCTTCTTGTTTGGTTACCATTTTCAGCAGGGAAATTGCATTGAAGTCAGCCCTGATTCCCATTAGCCTACTGTCCTTTACCCGAATAGAACTGGGCATCCCTTTGCACCCGATGTACTCGTACATGCGTCGTACACCCCCCGTACTACACATGATTTTTCTTTTGTACATGTTTGTACGCGCGTACAAAACAGCTTTTTAAAGTTTTTTCCATGGTTGCTGCAATCGGACATGTCTTCATCTCACATTCAACATGCATACATGCAGCTGGCGATGGCAACAGAAACTTCCACAGACGTAGTATCAGCAACAGACTTGAGATGGCGCAGTGCGCCCACACAAAAACTCAGAGATATGTCCTTTGGCCAGAAACTCAGCTCAAAGCAACTTGTCACATCTCATGGCTATGGCGTCTGAGCGCCAGTCTGGAATTCCCATGCAAACACTGTAACCACCGTCAGACACACTCACACGCACGTACGCACACAACACTTGGATCTACCCTGAATGTCTGCACCCACGTTTCACACACTATACCCTAACTTCTGTACATAGGCGGCTATGGCCGCTCGCCTGTTCCACCGTCGGGCTACCTGCTGACCACCGGTGAACTCAACGCACAAGTCACTCGAGCAGCACTTCCACGTAGTTCCCCAGATAATGAGTGAATGAGTGATCGCTGCCTCTTTATTTATACTGTTTCGCTTGGTGGTCTGGGCCTGCCGATGTCCCAAGCCCTCGAGATGTGCAGTCCCCACTCTGTTACTTGCCTGGGACTGCCTTTTCATGTGCCCCTTCGGGGCTGACTTGGGACTCTTGACCTTTCAGAGATTTGACGGGCTGCCTCTACTGACTTTGAAAGGTCAAGTTGACTCTTCAGGATCTACTCTAGCCACGACCTACTGACCTTTCATAGGACGTATGGCCACCTACAGACGACCCTAAGATTTCTAAACTCTAGACCTACGGATCAAACCCACACGACCCAAGCTGCACACACAAAACATCTGTACAAGGTTTTAGGGATAGGTCGCGGGTTCAAAGCACACGCGGTCAATGGCAACTATGCAGTGGACTAGCGAAGGTCTGGGGATGGAGTCCTGCCACCTGCAATGTTGCACGAACTGGGTGAAACCTTCCATTGCCAACCGGGCGTCTGGATCCTGATCCAGACAGTCCGGTGTCCGGTTTGGAGGGTCCGGTTGGACCCTGATGTGGAGATATTCGGGAAAAAAAATTGGGGTCCGCAGGCCATTTTCCTGGGCCTGGGGTACCCCGGAAAATTGTTGCTGTAGTTTTTTGAAGACCGTCACCCCAACCGGACCGGCCCTGAAGGGCCCGCTGTTGGAGAACTTCGGAGGGCAGTAGCAGCCGCAGTATCCTGTGAGGAACTTCGGAAGTTCGAACTTTGAACTTCGTACCTTAATATTTCCAATTTTATTAGCATGTTGGACCAGTCCCACAAACCTGTGTGTGTCTGTGTTCATGCCATGTGTGCCGTTTTTTTTTTTTTTTTTAACCGGACAACCGGACACTGATACACCCAACTGGACTGTCCGGGTTCTGTTGTCCGGTTAGATGTCCGGTTTAATCCAGACACAGGTCCGGTGACTGTGTCTGGTTGCCCGGGTGTGCATGTCCAGGGCAACCATGGTTTTTTGAACTTTTTCTGTTTTTTTTTTTTCGTTTTTTTTTTTTAAATCTCAAAATTGGTTGCGAATTTCACTTTTTGTCAGCAGCAAAAGTTGTTCAAAATAATGTCTTCTATCACATATTTTGTTTTCAGAATTTTATGATATATATATATCGTCAAACAGAGCTGTCCGGTAAACCGTAGGCAGAGAGGGAGAAGAGGACAACAAACCAGGGGCTGTGACAAACTGTTTCATCGGAGTTTATATAATATACATTATACGTATATATATTGTACAAAAGTGGTGCTGCGGGTAGAGTACAATGGAGTACAACATGGAGCACAACCTCTGTACAACGGAGTACAACGCCCATACAAAAACTTCAAATTTTTTGTACGTGAGGCATGCCTAGGAATAGGATGCCCTGGGCTTTTGATTCTTGAGGAGGTATGACGAGAGCTGCGCTAAGCTTCGTTTTTGCGTCCGTGGCCCTCCGCACCCGCACGGGCAAATTCGAACGCTCTGTCGGATTCGAAAGCGACGAAGCCACCCTGACAACGACGACGAACGCCCCAGCTGCGGCGTCATAGCCCCGCGAAAGCCCGGTGAAGCCCGCTCGCGCGCGCTCAGCGAGCGCGCCTTGGCCTACATGACAAGGGCAGGAGGACTCATCGTAGTATACAACGCAAATGGTAACTTCGCTGGCAAGTACCTAGACGACAACTGGCTTCAAGTGCCCTCTCCAACGTTTGGGAGACCTATGACGACCTACGACGACATATGACGACATCTACGGTGCCTACATCATCATGAGTGGTGTAAGAGGAAAACTGCCAGCGGGCTAACCCTTCTATCCAAGCCGTTACACTCTACTGGTTCCCGTCAATACCCCGCTAGGAACTAACGCCCGGCCTCCAAACCCCCCCCGCCCAGCCTCGCTGGTCCCCCGCTGATTCCCCTGTTTCCCCTAACTCTCCATTGCCTTCCCGACAGCCATTTCCTTACGTCTTCTTCTAACTACCACCTTCCCGCTTCCCACACCCATTCTTATTAGGCCTTCCTCTCCACCAGTCCAGCCCCCCCCTTAGGGTTTCCTCATAGTCATCCCATAGAAGAAAGAAAACCCCCTCATGTCTCCTCTCCCTCGCCTCCGCTGACAATCCACTCCGACCCCCCCCTCGCTATCCCTCCAGTAGCGACTCATCTCATCGGCCCAACCCCAAACCCCATCCTCGTCTGTCCACGGGGTATTCGCACCCAGCCCCCCATTGGCCTAGAGTGACTACTTCTACCACTCCCTATATCAATCACAAGCCCTACCCCGTTTGTAACCCCACCTCACCTTCACAACTCCCATCCCACCCACACAACATCAACCACTCTTACATCTGTCACTCTGAAAAAAAAAAAAAAAACCTCTGCCTCTGCCTCAAAGCACGCCGATCCCAACTCCTTCCAAGTNCCCCCCCCCCCCCCCCTCCCCTCTCTCGACGCTCGCCTCACACAAATTTTCCATACCCCACATCACACTATACCCCACCATATTCGATCTCACCATTAACCTCTGCTCCCCCCCCCCTCATGCCAGCAGAAAAACGAAAATGGGTGATTGTTGCGATAAAGAAAGAGGAAAAACTGAAAAACGTCAAGGAAGCTTTCTCTTTGCAGAGCTTGGGGCGTAATATGCTATTGGTCGTCTTCAATCACGAGCACCATGCATGAGCTGCAGCGGAAATGAGGTCAAGGAACTGCAATGACTCAGTATGCACAATAACAACATGGAAAAAGCAAACGAACCAAACCCAACCTTTACAGTTTCGTACGAACAAACGTTGATGAAAGAAAAATTATGGGTGCAATTTGACAGGATTCAACCGGGGTTTCATGGACTGGTGGTGGATAGACTGGCGAAGCAATGCCCAGCGCACAAAATCCTTAAGTGGATTCTGCCAACATTGGAATTCCTAGCTCCTCACTGTGGATCCATGACAACAATCTTGGAAATGAAAACGGACGATCCTCCGGTGTTCCCGCAAACATGGACACTCGCGATCAAGGAAAGGGAATTAATGATTGAAATCTCCACAAAGACCTCGCCGATCTGCTTCAGATGCAGAGGACGAGGCCACATGGGAACCGACACATACTGTCCCAAATTTCCCATGAATCGGAAAGAGAGGAAGCTTATGCCCAATATGTTGGTTGAGGTTGAAGAAGCCCCGGGAACTTGGTTCATTGTGGATCCTACCTATGACGGGTGGGTCTTTGATGACAATCTTGAAGATCCGGATTGGATATGGCACTACTCGGATAAGGAACCCACAACCAAGAAGCCGGACATCTTTCCCCCTGCTGACAACAGATGGCAAAGGATGGCAACGGGGAAAGAAGCTGGCAATCCCACGAAGATCAATACCATCCCCCTGAATGACTTGTGGGTTATAAGGGAGGAGAAAGCAAGGGAAGACTTGCTATGGGTTTGGGATTCAGTGAGAGAACAGGCAGAACAGGAGTACTCCAAGGAACCAGAAAAGCTTCAGAAAAAAACGCAGGAAATAATTGAAAGCAGAGAGAATGCCGGAAAAAAAAAGGAGGAAGAGCAAAGGCGGACCAGTCAACAAACTGATAGCAAACGCACTTTGGACAACAGCCCCAACCAAGAAAGAGGACAATCAGATTCCCAGAGGAGGAAAGCGAACAAGGTTGATGGGGCTCAAATTGAGGAGGAGGTTGTGACAGACCCGCAGGTCACTGTAGCCCGCAATATGGATAAGGACGCAGACTTGGCTATGGATGAAGAAGACTCTGAGGATAGCAAGAGCTCATGTGGCGCGGCTACCATCACCGATCAGGCACCCCCTCCCAACAGA